GAGATGAAACATAGGCCCCTCGTCATGCATTCGGGCCCCAGGGCCCGCAGGGGACGCGACCGGTGAGACTGCACAGACGGGGCCAAGAAGATGGGGTACTAATTCAACACAACGCACTCCTGAAATAGACGGCAGAAACACTCTCTCTCACTCACTCTCTCTCTCTTTCTTTGTGACCCTGGCGAATGAAATAATTAGGAGTGAGCCAGGACCGGGTGAGAGGGTAAACACGGCGCAGGGTCGACGGACTAAGCCAGGGCACTTCGGAGGAGGGGGCACACTGACCCCGTCCACATAAAGCTGTGATTTATGGCACGCAGGGCGCAGCAGCGGGGATGCGGTACCTCTCTCAGAGAACCAAATTACCGAGGTGGAGATTAACACACACGCTACGGGCCTACTTCCAGATCCAAGGAAATTTTTTATTTACATTTTTCCACTTTCATTTCCTCCCTCCTCTTTTAATGGTAATTGGTTGGTGTTAGGAAAGAGAGCTCTCAAAGCGCCTCAAGAGTGTTTTATTTAGGGATAGAGGTGGAGAAGAGTGGTAGTTTTGTGTGCCACACATGCAATATTTTAGTTTTGTCAAAACGTGCAGAATTGTACTGGCAGATGTGCCACACTTAATAAATCATCAAGTTTTGATATTATTTATTTGGTTTATGTTCACAACTATTTTTATTTTGTTTTTCAAAAGTAAACTGCAAAGAAAAAATAGCAATGTAGTATCCATGTTGGTTTCATACATTAAAAAAGCATTTATATCTCAAACGTATTTAATATTTAAGTTTTCAAATGTATTTTCTCTGGTATCTTTTTCATCACATTATGTTCAACATAGATTCCTGCATGGTGGATGCTTCACATTTTGATTTGGCGGAAAAACTAATTTGGTTTATTTTTAAACAAAATAACTTCATTAGGAACTTGACTACTTAAGAACTAATAACGAATGATTAATGTCAATTTTAATTTTTTGAAGAATTTCAGCCTTTTAATGACACCTTTTTTCCCCCCTTTTTACAATGTCCAGACAGTTACATCAGCTAGAGGTTTTTACTTTAAACCTCACAAAAAAAATATCAAGATGACTTTTAATTCAGAAACTAAAAACATGTTCATCATAGACAGTGTGTATGGAATTGTCCAAATGAATTGCAGTTTTTATTTACTTATTTGATTATTGTCCCTTAATCATATTATGCCAAATGTTATTAATGTTGTTGATGATGACGTTGTTCTTGTTATATGTAGTGTATGTAGCTGTTTGAAATGTAAAGCTCTATCTAGCCACGTTAAGAACATTATGTAGCTGTTTTCATTCGATTTTCGAGCTATTAGAGGCAAACAAAAGATGACTAAGTGGTAAGGAGTCTCAGCCCCGAGCACTAAATTGGTCGGTTGGAGCAGTTTTAAATGAGTTTTGGTTGAGCCCATTGATTGAGTGGCCCCGCACTTCAAATTAATAGCTGGTTGTGGAGTCCAGCGTCTGCAGGGAGGCGCGGTGCAAGCTTAATGCAGCATTTCGCTCCTGTCAATGGGAGGTCTATCTCGATGAATGGTTGAACTATTTCATGTGGATTTGGCTGCGATATTTTCTTTTTCTCTCCCCCCTACCCCCCTTTCCCGTTAGGATGTGCTGGAATGCATCTCGTACACAGTGTTTCCATTAGAGCGCGACTCCAGAGCCGAGGGAGACCGCGGGGAGCAGCTCCTTCCCGGCGTCAGTTTCTCGCCCATCTGGGATTCCCCTCCGCACAACTTTAGCTAGCGGCTTAATGCGCGCAGTCCAGCGCTGCTGCACCGCAAATAAACAAATCTGCCTGCCAAACTATTGCGTCTTGAAGGGGGGGACTGTGAATGCATAGCTGCATTCAAACTTTAGCATGCTGATTTTATGTAGCGAAACTAAACCACAAGATGCAGCTTTAAAGTGCTCCAAAACAAGCGTGGCCATCGAAAGACAAATGACACAACTTTAAAGCACTTTCTCAAAAAGCAAATAAAAAGATGTTATTTTGTTCAAAGTGTTTATGAATGAACATTCTTCTGAAATGCTCCGATCATTATAGCACGGGGCAATGAAGTGACTCGCCTTTTCCTGATCTATTTGGTTAATTAAGCACATTAAAACAAATCAATTCGTAGAGACAGTGACTTCAGTAAATGTTTTATTAGATGATCTTCTGTGCTAAATGTAACTTTAATATTTATGGTGTGCTTAAAGTCAAAAATGGTAGGTGGTGTAACTGTCCGGTGATTGCAAAAAAAATGTTAGTATATTTTTTTGTTGTAGGCTATAAGTAGCTTGGTACAATCAGTTATTATTCATTTAGAAATAATCAATAGGCAATAGCAATTCTGTATTAAAATGTTATTACTTAAGAAATGTCCATCAAATAAAACAAGTCGTATTAGTGTGGCGTAAACGTGCAGGAAGCCACATTGTTGTCATGTGACAAGAAAACCATAAAATAGAGAGGACCTCTTTACACCCTCATGAACCTGTGTCAAGTAGGCTATGTTGAGTCATTTTTATATAGTAGCCTATATAGGCTATCACATATATATTTTTATGAAATATGAAAGTGCACGTTTTGTTCAGGTCAGGAAATTGAGAAAATATAGGCTACTCGTGACCTTAAAACGTAGGCTATTTGAAATCAACATTTTTAACAAAAAAAAAATGGTTGAAAACTTTCTGGAAGTAATCATTTTAAAAATATTTTATTTGAGTATTTTGTACTTGTTAAGTAAAAAAAATACTAGAGTCAAAGGCTAGCCTACATGATTACGAACATGGCGCGTGTTTGAAACTTGATTGTTTTAAAGGATTTCTCCTTGGAATCATCTTTGATATCTTTAGCAATGCAGTGCAGTCAGCTGTAACATGTAGTTTAAACAAACACCAAAAATAAATAAATAAATCAAATCTAATATCTAAATGATAGTGCTTTTATTTAAGAAATTCATTATAGGGTCGGATTAAATTCAGTTTTATTGAAGTCAATCATGTTTAAGCGTCGAGTTGCATTGTAGGTCGTTCGGGCGATTTTCTATTTGGAGGCAATACACCTGAATCTTTCATGTTCCATCTAGCAATTTGACGCCTTAATGTGTACGGCGCTGTGTGCAGCAATTTCGCAGCCGTGAAAAGAAATGACTCCCGGTCTCGGTACTCCACAGCTCCGCGCTTGACTGATGAGAGAGAGAGAGAGAGAGAGAGAGAGAGAGAGAGAGAGAGGGGGGGGGGGGCGGCTTCTA